GCAAGCGTGCTCCTGACGCTGACCATGGGATGCAGTGAGCGCGCTCCTGACGCTGACCATGGATGCAGTGAGCGTGCTCCTGAGGCTGACCACGGGATGCAGTAAGCATGCTCCTGAGGCTGACCACGGGATGCAGTGAGTGTGCTCCGGAGGCTGACCACGGGAGGCAGTGAGCGTGCTCCGGAGGCTGACCACGGGAGGCAGTGAGTGTGCTCCGGAGGCTGACCATGGGAGGCAGTGAGCGTGCTCCTGAGGCTGACCACGGAAGGCAGCAAGCGTGCTCCTGACGCTGACCATGGGATGCAGTGAGCGCGCTCCTGAGGCTGACCACAGGATGCAGTGAGCATGCTCCAGAGGCTGGCCACGGGAGGCTGTGAGCGTGCTCCTGAGGCTGACCACGGGAGGCTGTGAGCGTGCTCTGGAGGCTGACCACGGGATGCAGTAAGCGTGCTCCTGAGGCTGACCACGGAAGGCAGCGAGCGTGCTCCTGAGGCTGACCACGGGATGCAGTGAGCGCTCTTCCCTCACTGCGAGCACGCCGCAGCCTGCTGCTGCTGCCAGGCCTCTCTGCCCTGGGTCTTCTGGGCAGCTGCCTTGGAATGCACTGACAACATCTCTCAAGACCATTTGGACCTTGAGGAAGGGCGGAGGTCGCATGGTGCCAGATCCTGTGAGTGCAGTATATGAGGACACAGCGTAACTTCTTTTGGCAGAAATTGCAATCTTTGAATCCAGGCAGCCATGAAAAGACATGCAGGAAAGAGGAATTGCATGGCTGCTACAGAAAGTGGCAGGAAGGGTGGGGTGCGTGTGCCTGATGTGAGGTGGGACTTGGAGAAGGCTCAATGGTGATGTGACTTTTATTGTAATACTGTTTTTTAAAAAATTCAATTTAGGTAAACACGGTATTTTTCATCACATCTGTGCAGCTGCTCCTAAGCTTGGCTGCAAAGAACGTCTCCCAGCTCCACTCACAGATCCTGAATCAGATGCAAACAGTGGCTGAGGAAGCTGATGCCTGTTGTCGCTTTTGGAGGTCGTAGTAGGTGCCGGCCACATGGCCCAGGCTGAGGAGGCTCAGATGCCCTGGTGGCTGCGATCTCTGCTGCCACAGGGTCACCCGGCCTCTCTGGGCCATTCTCATCCATGTGCAGGTGGAGCCGCCTGGGTGCGCTTCCTGGGCCCCACCTGCACCTGGGAGGGGGTGCCCTGGGGGAGGGACATCGCTGGCAGGTCTGCCACCGCAGAACCAGGAGCAGGTGGGGAGGAAAGCGGCCATGGATGGGCAGATCCTGGTCATGCAGTTGTCTCCCTGCCTCCGAGGAGAGGACAGGTCTACACACATGCAGTGGTTAGAATTATGTGTTGGTGTGCCCAGGCAGGGACACAGGCTCTGGGAAGCCACTTCCTGTGCCTCTGTGAGGTGCTTCCAGGACACTCGGTGGCCACATGAAGCTGATCGTGTGTCCCTGCCTCGGGGAGCTCCTCAGCCCTCAGGGCCCAGCGGAGCAAGGTAGAAAGAAGGGCTTTCTCTTGCTCCTTTTATTTTTCCCCATAATTTTATTGAGAAACAAATAGCAATGAGACAGTTTCAAATCAAATTGGTAGGACAGTTCCAATAATTAACACATTGCATACTCTCTTCCTTGTGGTTATTTGCTGTACAAGATGCAGACAGGATATCCTATTTACAAACACTATTAGAACAAATCCCTCTATTCATTAAGAGCATGTAACTAAATGGATATTCATCTGTATCCCCTTTTTTGTTTAGTTCCAGCATTTGAAAAAATATAGAACGCTTCATGAATTTGCGTGCCACCCTTGCGCAGGGGCCCGCTAATCTTCTCTGTATCATTCTAATTTTAGTATATGCGCTGCCGAAGCGAGCACTCTCTT